GGGTGCCGGGGTCCTTTACCGGGGCGTGATGCTGACCACTCACCCCCATCTAGTGCCGAGGTTAAGAATGAGTACGAGCTATACCTCCACTCCCCCCAAGCGCCTACATGGCGTATAGTGGGACAGCTTTACTTACTTTACATGACGTGTCGTTAGGTTTCTGACAGAGAAGATGACCTCCAGATATGGAGGGTAGTTTCTATTATATTGAATAAACATTTGCGGACAGCCGACAAGGAGTGATCCTTCAGGTTGTGGGTTAGGCGGGGAGTCAAGAAATTACGACCATAAAACATGTTAAGATATGTTATACACATCTCGGACTTATACGGATTCTTTGAGACAACCTAAGTGGACATCTACATTCTTGTGCGATAAAGCAGTTTATAACAGCTGCATAAGAAACACAGTCATATCGTGAACTAGCGGAGAGCGTGTTATTTGAAAGACCCACGGTCACGTTACGTTGATATATAGCAGCTCAAGGAAATATGACCTCACTCTATAGGCCAACCAAATGACATGGAAGCTCGATAAGTTGCATAGAAGTAAAGGCGCCGTTACTGTGGGCAGTCGTTTTGGAGGGGCGAGTGACGGTGAGACTGCAGTGGGAGCTTGGAGCGACGCGAGTAATGTGTGACGTTCCCTGAACTGGAGTCACACAACTCAACACAACAGTTCCATGGTTCAGACACTGGGATAGGAAGGTTTATTTTACCAGGGTTGACGTTTTCTCTGCGGACAGAAAGTTTTATAACATATGGTTTTGTTTAAATAATTTTCCAGTCTCCAGATCTATTATTTATTATGATTTCAGTAGGAAAACCAATAAATTAAAAATCCCAGATCTTTTATGATATATTTGAGTAGAACCAACCTCAAATTCCTTACAGCAGTCAAGTTCTTAAAACATTCACTGCACGTGTGAGAAAAACCAATTGTAGTACCTAATTCGTTTCCACGTGACATAATATCAGCTGAAACACCAACCTCACCTTCGCCTGGTGTACCCCGTTCTCAGAACTGATCTCTGGTATCTGAGTCATGGCGTATAGACTAATTATTATTTCTCGTGTGTAGGAAACTCCACTGCACATTTTAAGAAATATAATCTTGCAGTTATAACCGTGACATCTGATGTAGGAAATATATTTTTTATTAATTATCTAAGTCGGATGGCGACGTAGATATTAAAGTATAAAAAACATTGAGAAATATGGGCCAAACTAATTTAAATTTTGATTAATTTAGTTTGTTAACAGTTGCACCTAACTAGTGTGGCTGAGTTGATTTTAAAAATTTACTAACTTAAATTCGGCGTAAAGAACAAGTTCTTCATTTATTGTTGATAGGATAATAAATCCTTATTAAAGTGAGAAAATGAAGAAAGAATAAGATCAATCTAGAGCAACATTTGTGGCATAAGATTAAAAGCGCTAATTCAAGTGTGCTGCATATGAAAGTAGGCCGTTTAATGTTTACAATTATATTGTTCATTGACATATATTTTATATATTTCTACGTGTCACAATTAACATTTTTGGTGATAGTGAAAACGTCCCTTGTCGACCTGCCTTTGTCTATGTCTGATGAACTCGAATATCTAAATAATGAACTTCCAGTCACTTTCGGTATTTCGAACATGTTGTATGAAAATATAACGCTACTGCAATGTACGATGTGCATTAACCGACTTAGAGTCACTCACTGGTTTGATTACGGATGTTGTGCAGTGCAGTATGGTAGAAGTTTTCCGACATTTCAAAGGTGCTTACTGCCTCCATCATCATGTCGATAAGTGATGAAGGCAGCAAGCATCTCTGAAATGTCGGTAAACTTCTACCATACTGCACTGCACAACATCCCAAAAGACAGCATCTTCATACCCCCCCCCCCCCCCCCCAAGTGAGAACCTCAAATCTTACCAAACGATTTGTTGCGTACTTCCGTCGATATATACATGAAAATAAACTATTACACTGAAGATTTCTGTCTTTTGGGTTGCACTGTGTAGTCTGGTCGATGTTTGCCAACGTTTCAGAGATCATACTGAATCGCCCTGATGACGGAGGCAGTATGACCTCTGAAACGTTGGTTAACATCGACCAGTCTACACAGCGCAACCCAGAAGACAGAGATCTTCATATTCACCGCTGTGAAAACCTCAAATCTTACAACTATTACACTGATTCTTAGAGAAACAATTTGTGCGAGTTTACAGACTTTGATGATGTCTCGGCAGTGTTTTCGCTAGTGGGTTTCTGTTAACGGTGATGAAGCTACAGGATCAAATCAGTATGAAATTTCGTTATAAGTTAAATAACTACTGAATGATTGGATATAAAGAGCTGTACCAGAGATATGACGCTATTTGTGTTATTATTATTAGGTCACATCAGTTTTAATTCAGGCATGGGCGAAAATTTTCAACAAATTTATTGCGTCATAAGCATTATAACTACTGTCTATGAGCAGAAGCGATATCGGACATCTCGAGATAAGCGATAAAATTGTTATCCCATCTCCACTAAATAAACTCGGTGAGATACACGGTGAAGGCAACAATACCAAATATTTAGTGTTTCGTGGAAAGATTCCTCGGCGTCAGCAGTCAGTAAATCAATCTGGGTAGTGTGTCATAAAATATGCTGTAATGTATTATGTTGTCAAACAAATGTATCTTTGTAGATTTAAAAATGAGGTTAATAAGCACAAGTTCGGTGTTTTAGTAAAATAAAATAACGTTTAAAGTTAATATTAATACATAGTCGATTTTTCAACTTACCTTTTACCTGATGGGCTGTTTGTTCTGCAAGAAGAATAAAGTGGAAGAACGCTTTCAGTAAAGGGGTTTCTCCGCCTTTTTATTGGGCTGACAGATGATGGTGATCTAACGTCCAGAAGACTTCATATTTTCCAAAAAAGAAGAACTTAATCGAAATCTTAGGCTAATTAAACTTGACAAAAATTTTAATGATGTGAAATATCTATTTCAACTTCAAGAAGGATTTGGAAATTATTAAAAAAAACTTATACAAAATGTCAAAAATCACAACATGATGAATAGCAAAATTAATAATTGTCTGTTAGCAGAATAGGTTTAAAAGTCATATTAATAGAAATTATAAAAAAAGATATATGGTGACTACATGCTTAATTCTTATCTGACAGAATCAAAAAGAATTGTACAAGTAATTTATAAGCAATTGATTGTTTCTACTACTAACTTACGTAAATATTAACGAACGGATTCGGACACACACACAGTTCGAGGAATGCCTATTTGTTGTTTCTTGCATTTAACCTCCAAAACAAAACAAAACAAATTTATATAAATTTCAACAACGATAACGAATATCTTTCATTTATAAGCAATCTCGACTATTTATTGCAGTTGCAAATACTAAATAACAGAAGGAAACAAAAAAATGTCAAGTTTTTGTTATAGAACACAGCACATGAGATTCTGACTTCCCAGACTATGAAAAGCACTGTAATACAATCACTTAGCGAGCAGGCATTCCCTTCCTCAGTGGTGCTTTTATTGATCTATTGTCGGCTGCCTGGTAGCTTTTCCAAGCCCGAGCGTTCGTCTCTGCGCCTGCCACATCTGCAGCACTGCACAACACACACGTATCTCGGGCAAGCCTCTACTATCTTTCAGCGCCGGCGCCAATACGCACTACATGTATTGAAGGACCTGTGCCGTGACGTCATCGTTAGACGTTTCATGCTCCTATCTCCTTTATGTAAATGTCTTCGCATATCGCGACATGTACAGCTTTTAGTTTCGTATGCAATGGTGCAAATTTCTTCCTCTTTTCTTTGGGTTTCCTCTCTTTCATCTCTTACTTTCTTTCTTTTCTTGTATATATTTCCGTTTATGTCTCTTAATTCCCTTAACATCTCTTTTTACTTTCCTTAATTAGAAAAGTTATATCACGGACCATTCTTTTGACGTGGAGTGTTGCACCGTGTAGTCTTTTAGAAATTGGCCGACGTTTCAGATGTCCATCACCAGGGCTAAGAACAATAAGCACTTTTGAAACATCGTCAAGTTATACCAGACTACAGGATGCAACATCCGATCTCAATAATCGCCTCCTTGAGATCCTAAAATCTCAGTTATTTTGACGTTTTGTGAGGCTAAGTAAGTGATTAGGTTGGTGTAGTCTATCCGTAAACTCAACGCTCTAAGCACGCAATCAGGAAGTATCATCGCCCTGATGACGGAGGCAGTATGACCCCAGAAGCGTTGGTGGACATCTATCAGATTACACGGCGCAACAACCCAGAAGACAGAAATCTTCATACTCACCGCTGCGAAAACCTCAAATCTTACAGGAAGTATCAAGTTTAAAACTCGGTTCCTTTGACTGAGATGGTTCTCTGACTTTTTTAGATTCTTCAAGAGTGACCAAATAACAAAATCAAATAAGTCAGGACTCCATCATGTAACACTCATAAAGGCAGACAAGAAAAGCAACATGTCGGAATGGTGGTATCTGAATTTTGTAAGATATCTGAGCATATGTAGTGTCTACAGTAACATCATTTTGATCTTTTGAAGAAAAAAAAAAGTATTTATGTATACCGTTGTTTTCCCTCTTACCTCAAACCAACGATTTTTTCTGTTACATTTTGGTGAAATTTAATTTCATTAGTTTGGGAGATGAAACATATGTATGGACAGACAGGTTTCTAAATTATGCTTTAATATTATGCACTTTGAGCAAATGACCTATAAAACAATGTAAAGCAGACGTGTGTTACATTTACGTTCGAAATTACAGTGCTTAATGTAGACCATTGTTGTTAATAGCGATTTGAACAAGGCGGTTAGAAAATGGCAGCAGTTGTAAAGTTCAACAGTTTGTCTCCAGGGGGCAAGGGGAAGGTTGTCGGCAATATTTTGATAACAAGTGCATGTGCTTGGCGCGTATAGCGAGTTTTAATTTAATTGTGACTTTCTTATTTGATATCATGTCTGGAATTATTGCATTTTTAATAATATATTTGTTATTTGAAGTATATTTAGCACTGGTAAGTTATTCTGACATAACAATAGAAGAAAGTATTTGTCTTAGAACTGTAGAGGAAGGTAGTAAATGAATGGCCTTGGTCAATCGCATTTAATGTAGTACTTTTAATATTGTTTCAGCTAGTTTTGTGAATTATTACCAGGTATTTTATACGGCAGTTGACAGTCATGGAAGCAGATGATAAACCGTTTGCTTGTTCTTTTGCCGGGTGCAATTTGGTGAGCAAATATTTTAAGTAATCTTCTGTATACTTCACACCATTTCGTTACTGAAGTAAGGTACTAGTGTACACAATCCTACACCGCTTTTTCCATGTGTTATATTTTGGTAATTGTTTCTTATAGTGTATGTACCATTATTGAGAGAAGATCATTTAAAATTGATATTTATTCCAACAAAAACATAAAATCTGTATGCATTCATTTTATTACCAAATTTTGTAAGTTACACATTTTTGTAACATTAATTTTCTATGGATTATCTCTTGTCCAGCGGTTCACAAATGAAGACCATCTTACAGTTCATAAGAAGAAGCATGACATGGCTTTGAACTTGGAAAATGGACAAAAGACTAATGTGTTTGTTGGTGAGTTTATATTGATTTACATTTAGTGTATGTTGTTGACATACTGATTTAGTTTCATGCTACCCTGTGTTTGATCTGTTGTAGATACTACAAAAATAATAACTTTGTCTAGGAAATGAATCTTGTCACTCTTTGAAAATATATAACTGTGTAGACCATTATTAACTTGTTCACAAGAACCCACAGCTGAATCATGTAGTTATCCACTACTGAAAAGTGTTTCACAACAAAGTATGTGGGAAATTAGACAGTCCATATATTGCAGAAAGGGTTCGTATCACTTGTAAAGGCAGCCTTCTTTTCTCTTGCTGCTTTTAGATATTTTGCAATATTTTATTTTCATGTATGTAAATGTTTCTCATATATTCTCTCTTATTTCTCATGTCCTTTGTCCTGTTCAATTTTTCTCTTTGAAAATATATAGTGTTAGGGAGATAGATTGGTAAAACTTTACTCTTGACTACTTTTCTTTCTCTTTGT